ATATATATATATATATATATATATATATATAGAGAGAGAGAGAGAGAGAGAGAGAGAGAGAGAGTGTTAAATAACAAATTAAGCACATTTATTTACTTATAAAGTAACCTGCAAATAAATGCAGAAGTTTGGGTATTAACTCCCAGGCTCCCCCGCTCTGGATGAATTCTCGAAACTGACTGGTACTGACTGGATGTTCCTTTCTCTAGCACGTCTCTTGCCCGTTCTCTCCTGTACCCCATACTTCCTGTTGCCCTGTGTCACAGTGTTCTTTTCTTGTGTCTGTTTGCAGACGATGTTTGCTCCGTGTCTGTAGTTGCTCAGAGATCAGACCTTAATACTCTTGAGCCTTCTTTCCATCTTCCAACTTTTTTAGCTCTCTACTACGGTTGCTGCATGCGCTATCTTACAACATTATTGACAAGAGTCTCATTCTGAGAATCTCAAACTTAGAAGAGATCTTAAAGGTGTCGACTTCAATCCCCAACAGATCCTGGACTCATATTTGCAACATTTCTAACCAGTGGGTGTCCAGCCCCACCTTGAATACTCTCTGACATGGGGACTCTCAAATTCCCATTCCTTGGACCACACTGTTAGTTTATTAGGATATATTAAAGCAAACCTTTTGGTTTTTTTCTGCCCTCCAGTCCTGGATCCATCCCTTTGTACTGTACAGAGTGAATCCACCTCCCACTTAACATGTCTCCAGAGATTTGAAGGCAGCAATGCCCAAAGCCCTCTCTGTAGACAGAGAAATCCTTACTTCTTCAGCTGGCATTTTAAAGACCTGTGATATTAAATATCCTGTCTGGGGCTACCTGTGTAAGGGTAAATGTCTTATAAGGAAATATAAAAATAGCCCTTGTTAAATGTGATTTGGATATGTGTTAACAGTCTGTCAAATTGGTGCTTATAAATTCAATATTGGGTTTCTTTTTTTGTAGCCAGGTAACGTGTTTTTGGTAGATACAAAACAAGTAAAGATAGGAGACTTTGGACTTGTGACATCCCTGAAAAATTACGCAAATCGGACAAGGAATACAGGAACTCTTCGATACATGAGCCCAGAACAGGTGAGGTCCCTTTCCTTTCTGTCTATATAGTTTTCATTTCTTTTGTATTTTTAATTAGAAAGATAACAGGCACCTCTTATAAAATTAAAACATCACAGAAGGATATAGGAAGAAAGTGGAAAATTCCCTTTAACCCAACTTTCTATCCCTACTCTTCTCATAGAGTCTGTTGTTTATCCTTTTGGATCATTTTCTGTGAGTTATAGACATTTATAAACACACATTTGTATATATATGCAGACTTTTTGCACAAAAATATAAAGAGATGTTTCTATAACTGACTGTACTGTTGTTTTGTGGCTTTTTTTTTCACTCAACAATGTATCATAATCTTTCCGTACCAGCACAGATGGATCTGACATCCATTTTAGCGACTGTATTGTATACTGAAGTATAGCTCTACCATCATTTATTTAACTGTTCCCTTATTGATGAGTGTTTATTTAGGCTGTTACCAACTTTTTATGTGTTTTCCTCCTTATCTTTGACTCTAAAAACACATATTTCTTTTTTTTTAAGTTTATTTATTTATTTTGAGAGAGAGTGTGCTAGTGAGCAGGAAGAGGGGCAGAGAGAGAGAGAGAGAGAGAGAGAGAGAGAGAGAGAGAGTGAGTAAGAGAATCCCAAGCAGGCTCTGTGCTCAGTGTGGAGCCCGACACGGGGCTCGATCCCACAATCATGAGATCATGACCTGAGGCAAAATCAAGAGTCCACCACTTAACCAACTGAGTCACCCAGGTGCCCCTAAAAATGAGTATTTCCATGATAATCTGTAATAGATTCCTTTAAGTGAAATTACTGAGTAGGCTGACAGGTGCATTTCAAATTTGCTAAATACTGTGAAATTGTCATTCGGAAAAAAGTGATTCTATTATGCCCTCCTCCCAAAGTGTAGGACAATGCTGCTTTCTCCTTCACACTCCCAACCAGACTAGGGTGCTAGCAGACTGCGTTTTGGCCTCGGTGATGAATGAAGAGTATCCTGATGTTTTAGTTTGCATTTTTCAGATTTTTAGTAAGGTAGGCCATCTATATATGTATGTACTTACAGCTTTTCTGCAGATTTACTATTCATGTGCTCTCCTCATTTTTCTTAATTAGGTTATCTGTTCCTAATCTCTTTGTAAGGAATATTTATATATTTTGGATATTGATTCTGTATCTGTTAACCATATTACAGAAATGTTCTTGTATGACAACTTAAAATCGTCTATGCTACATTTTAAACAAAGAAATAACAAGAAACCATCATCAAGGAGAACATTTGAATGTCTTATGTGTAGTTTCATTACTCTAATAGTCTCCATTTTTGGTTGATAGCTTATTGTCTGTTTTCATCTTTTTGATGTTTGAGAGCCTAGGGTAGAGAGGAAATCCACCTTCTTCCCTTGGGGACCATGTGGCATAAAAACATAATTTAATTTTTTTTGTGGAATAGGAAAGTGGAAGACAAACTTTAACTCCTGTACCCTGTACTGTCACCCTAAAATATTTTTGAAAAAATCATTCCTCATTGTGCTTTTCATTTCCTTAGTGGTTTTTAAACTGAAAAACATTTTATTGAGAAATAATTTATACATCATGAAGTGTATGTATTTTAAAGGTACATTTGTCATTTGACAAAGGCATATATACCTGGGAAACCCATACACTTGTGAAAATGTAGGACATCTCCCTCGCCTGTGAAAATTCCCTCAGGCCCTTTCCAGTCCCTCCCTCCTTCCCAGAGGCAGCTGGTGCTCTGATTTCTGTCACCACAGATTAGTTTTCCCTGTCTTGAGCTTCATATGAGTGGAATCATATTTTATGTATGATTTTTTTATTGTATTTGATTACTTCAGTCAAACTAATGTCTGCTGGAGAACCTCTAGTGGTTGTTTATACCAGCAGATTATTCCTTTTGATTACTGAGTACTATTCCATTGCCTGAATATACCACAGTGTGCTTCCCTATTCTTCTGATGGTCATTTGGATTGCTTCCAGTTATAGAACATTATGAATACATATGAACATTTGCATGAAAGCCACTTACTGGGAACTCTTAACTATTTCGCCTCCTGCATCTTATTTAACACTACTGTCAAGCTCTGAGGCTGAAATTTTTGTTATCCCCATTTTATGGCTGAGATTATTCCACCATTGATGGTTAATTTACATGAGTGATGCAGCCAGTTAGTGACACATTTGAACCAGGGCAGTGAGACTCCTTAGATCTTGCTAATAAACACGCATTGTTACATGATATAAGATAGTTTGGTCAAATAGCTGTTTTGGTTTCAGAAGCCATGGATGTTTATATCAGGTATCTATCAGTAACAAATATAAACATATTTTGGTCTCTTTAGATTTCTTTACAAGAATATGGAAACGAAGTGGACATCTTTGCTTTGGGGCTAATTCTCGCGGAACTCCTTTACATATGTCCCACGGTTTCAGAAACATTACAGGTAAATAATATCACAAAAAAGAATTAAGCAACAAAAATTATTAGCAGTCATCTCCAAAGTGCTGCTACAGTAACTGCCCTTATGTGAGGATAGACTTGAATATATTAGTATTGACTGAGAAGGAAATACGGATTTAATCTTTCACACAGTTGGGCAACCAAAACTTTTTGCTTCAGACCAGAAACTTTGGTCTTCTTTTAAGGTGTGTACATCTCACAAAACTAAAGCTGTTTCTTCTTATTTGAGTCAGTCAGTAAAATTTTATTGATTGCCTGCTTTGCCTAAGACACTGTGCTAAGTGCTACAGGGTTTTAAATGTGAATAAGCCTCGTTGTCATGGAGCTTTTATTTTAGAAGGGAAGATACTATAAGAGAATGCTCTACATGTTTTTGGGAAAAGACATGAAGTCTTGGGGAAACAGGACAGAGATCTTTCTAGCTGTAGCGATTTAGGTTTCATGGGGTATTTAAGTTGGGCTTTGAAGGATTGGTTGGCTTCTAATAGGCCAAAATAGAAGAAAGATCATTCCAGCCTTCCTTGTGCAGAGGGTGGGACTAGCAGACAGAATCATTTTTCTTGGAGTAGTAAGTGACAAGGAAGGGATGGTTGGCACACTGGAGAGACGTGTTGGGACTAAATTAAGGCAAGATTATGGACTTTCTTATGGGGGCAGTGGGGAGCTGCTAAACGTATTAGGCAACTGGAGGGATATCTTGGTCTGAAGCTCAGTAAACGGACTTGCTGGAGCCAACAGCCTTCCCTGGACAGCAGGGATAATGAAAATACCTAGCACGTAGGATGCCAAAAAAGGATGAAGGGAAGTAATGCAGATGACGCTCTTAGCACTCAACATGTTGATGTTAAGGATGGGGAAAGGTGGGAGAGGAGAGTCCTGCTTGCCTCTGGGCCAAGAAGCAAGTTTGGTTTTCCTCCTGAGTGAATAACTTCCTCATGAATATATATATATACATATACGTACATATATATACATATATATATATGTATATATATATATGTATATATATATATATACATATATATACACATGTATATATATATATGTATATATATGTACGTATATGTATATATATATATATACACATATACATATATATGTGTGTGTGTGTGTGTGTGTGTGTGTGTGTGTTTTATTTTCAGATTTTTAAAGAGCTAAGGGACGGCAAGTTCTCAGATGTATTTGATGGCAGAGAAGTAAGTACTTGAAAATAATCAGACTTTTATTCATTTCAGTGTTCTATTTATTAGTATTGACTCACTATCATTACAGAAAATTCTTCTGCAAAAATTACTGTCACCCGAACCCACGAAACGGCCTCATGCATCTGAAATACTGGAGACTTTGAAGGAGTGGAGGAATGTAAAAGAGAATATGAAACGAAGCACATGTTAGAGCTCTTCTAAAAAAAGTATCCTGCCTTGGATATTCAATTTTTCTATAACTGTCTAAATTCTTCTAGGGACACCTATTGGGTATTTACCTTCTATTTTTATTTTCCTCTTAATTTTTCACTAAATTTTAAGAAGGTTTGAATCTTTTTTTTTTTTTACTTCAAAAACATTCAGACACTTTTCTTTTCCTGAGCTTATCTTCTTATTATAAACATAGGGGAGAATATCTCTCAAATTCTTAAAATATTAGCAAATCAATTAATATTCATTAAATGTCCACTGTTTCTAGGCCAAAAATATATGAGATCTTTCACTGTTTGAAATAGCTAATTTAGAGAAATATGGTACTCATAAGAAGATAAGTGATATACAATCACTTTGGAAAACAATTTGGTATGATCTGGTAAAGTTGAAGGTGTATATACCCTCAAAGCCATCAATTTGGTTCCTACATGCTTGCCTACCAGAATGTTCATAGAAACCTTGTTCATAACAGCCAAAAGAACAAAAAACAACGTACATCACAAGAAGAATGGATAAACTGTATTTTTTCATACATTGTAATACTATATAGCAGTGAAAATGAACGAATTATATAGCTAGGTGCAATAACATGATACATCTCTGAGGAACATAATGTTAAGCCAACAAAGCCAGTTACAGAAAACATATACAGAATGATTCTATTTACATAAAGTTGCAGACCACGCTAAATGAAATACTTTGTTTAGAAATCCAAACAGACGTGGTAAAACAATAAAGGGAAAGAAAGGAATAAGAAATTCTACATTTTGATGGTGGTTTTCTGAGGAGGGATGGAAGTGGTGTGATAGGGGAAGTAAACTTCAAAGATAACAGTTCACTTTAAGTTTATTTATTTACTTTGGAGAGAGAGAGAGGAGAGAGAATTCCAAGCAGGCTCTACACTTACAGCATGGAGCCAGATGTGGGGCTCGAACTCCTGAGACACGAGATCATGACCTGAGCCGAAGTCAAGAGTTGGATGCTTAAGCATCATGACTGAGTCACCCAGGCACTCCTCACTTTTTTTGTCTTAAACCAGATGTTGCATTCACTACTGTTTACTGTGTACTCTTTTTATCTTAAATACATTTTGTATCTATTAGAACAAACACTTTAAAGAGATAACTGTGCTAGAAGGCAGTAGGTAAGCACAGAGAAGAATCTGTCTGGAGAAGTTTCCAGGAGATCACTTTCTACTGAGGTATCATGGCATACGGCTTAGAAGTGGCATTCCAGTGAGACTTCTAAGTAGGCTAGGGATTTAGACAAGTAGTGAGGAGCAAATATGGGCAGGAGTCTGGACAAGAGCCATGGCTTGAGTTCTGGAAAAGATATACCTAAGAATGTTGGGTATACTTTGTTTCCCTGAATTGCTGGAGAGAATACCAGAAGATAATTTGGGTGACATCTTGGAAAAAAACCTGAGGGAAAAAACCTGTCACATAATTTTACAGTTTTTAAAGTGAGCCAAGTTTAGGCTAGGCAGAAAAGTCACAGAGAAAGGCTATTATGAAGGCTATAGCTATTTCTAAAAAGTTATTGAAAGCAGTTAATATTGTTTTCAACTCTCAATGCAGTATTTGATCAAGGCAAGGTTTATCAATGGAGGGTAAAACCATTGGTTGAAAAGGTGTTGGGGAACAAGATCTTCAAAGGATTTAAATATAATCCCACAGATGATATATCAGTTACAAGGGGAAAGAGAAATGTACCTTTACAATGGAAAGACCTCCTGGTCTCCTTAATAACCATGTGATTAAATCAACATCACTGAAGGTGGGACTGACCACCTAATATTATGCCTCTCCTGATGTAAGAGTTATGTGCTATCACCTATTTCGTTTTCTTGCCAAAGCATTTAACTGGAACTCAATCATGAAATTATTAGACAAATCCTGAATTAAGTCATTCTATAAGATAATTACCTTGGGCTTCTCAGAAAGTCAATATCACACACAAAAAAGTAGAGGAAGTATTCTAAATAGAGACTAGAGAGATATAATGACCAAATGTGATACTTGAACCTTGATTGTATCTTGGATGTTAAAAAAAAAAGAGATAAAAAAAAAAAAAAAACCTGGAGCGCCTGGGTGGCTCAGTGGGTTAAGCGTCTGACTTTGGCTCAGGTCATGATCTCATGGTCCATGAGTTCAAGCCCTGCATCGGGCTCTGTGCTGACAGCTCAGAGCCTGGACCCTGCTTCAGATTCTGTGTCTCCCTCTCTGCCCCTCCCCCACTCACACTCCCTCTCTGTCTCTCAAAAATAAATAAACATTAAAAAAAAACCCATCAAATTATAAAAGACGTTTTGGGGACAGTTAACATTTCGGTATGGACTGCATATTAGATGGCATTATAGAATAATTTTTAACTTTCTTAGGTGTGATAATGATATTGCAGTTATGCAGGAAGAGGTCTTATTCTTAGGCAGTGCATGAGGAAATATTTAGGGGTGAAGCGGCATGATAGGGACAACTTTCAAATGTTTAGTGAAAATCACTATGTATGTGAAGGGAGAAAAAGCAAATGGGGCAAAATGTTAACAACTGAATGACTGATAAATCCAGGAGGAGGATAAAGTTATTTATGCACATATGTGATTTAGCTTTTATATATACACATATACATAGATAAGTGTGTGTGGGGGGGCAGCTACATAATTTGGGACCCAGTGAAATGAACACATGGGGACTTTGTTCAGTAATTAAGCATGGGTCACTTCTTGAATATGGAGCTTTGTACAGCTGCACAGGTTCCACAGCCGTAAAGCCAGACGTGTGAAGATATATATGTATACACACATATATACGTGCACATGCATATGTATCTGAGATGAAATGTTTAGAAGTCTAAATACCAGCTTCTCCAAGACTCAAATTATCCAGGACCCTCACTAGAAACAAACTCACAACATCCATTCCCTACTGGAGTGTCCACCATAACTTGAGGTTCCTGGCATGTTAACTTTTCATTATGGAATATTGGAATTCATTGTGGAATATTTCATTATGGGATATTATGGAATATTGAATGATTCTAATATTATTCATATTTAATTTAATAAATTTTATGTTAAAGCATACACAAAAACAGAATAATGAAACTCTATGTTTCATTCATTATTCAAATATCAATATTATGCCTTCTTTGTTATATATACCTCCTTCCTTTTTTTTTTTTTTTTAATTTTTTTTTCAACGTTTATTTATTTTTGGGACAGAGAGAGACAGAGCATGAACGGGGGAGGGGCAGAGAGAGAGGGAGACACAGAATCGGAAACAGGCTCCAGGCTCCGAGCCATCAGCCCAGAGCCCGACGCGGGGCTCGAACTCCTGGACCGCGAGATCGTGACCTGGCTGAAGTCGGACGCTTAACCGACTGCGCCTCCCAGGCGCCCCATTCCTTTTTTTTTTAATGTTTAATCATTTATTTTGAAAGAGAACGAGCTAGCTTGTACAAGCAGGGCAGGGGCAAAGAGAAAGGTAGCGAGAGACTCCCAAGCAGCTGTGCACTGTCAGTGCAGAGCCAGACATGGGGCTCGATCTCATGAACTGTGAGGTGACCTGAACCAAAATCAAGAGTCAGATGCTTAACCGACTGAGCCACACAGGTGTCCCAACCCCCCTTCCTTTTTTTAAATTTTCTTCTACTGGAGTATTTTAAAGCAAATCTCGGTCCTTGTATCATTTCACTTGTAAATACTTAAAAATGTATTTCTGACATAAGATCTTTTGAATTTTAACAAAGCCATGATACATTGTCATTCAACAAAATTAATATTTCCTTGATGGTTGTATAGTAACCAGTCTGTATTCAGTTTTCTTCACAAAAATATATTTTGGCCAGGTGTTTAAATCAGGATCCAACATTGCATTTAGCTGATGTCTCTTTTGCTTTGTAACATTTACTCCTGTTTTAAATTTCTTTCCTCTTGCCATTTATTTGAGGAAGGAACTAGATCATATATCCTGTGGAATTTCCTTCATTCAGGACTTGACTGATGGTATCCCCATGGTGTCTAGTTAGGACTAGAAGCTTGATTTGATTCTGGTTCAAGTTTTTTCCCCAAGAATACTGCATAGATGATGGTGTATACTTTCCTTGACATCTCTTCAGGAGTAACATAATGTTTGGTTGTTTCATTTTCAGTGATCTTAAGATTGATCCATGGGTTCTGGTGGTGTAATCTACTATAAAGTTTCTTTTCAATCTTCCACCTAATGGTTGGAGATTGTTGTTTGGATCCATTATTTCATTAGGGGTTGCAAAATAGAGATTTTTGGATTCTGTAATCTTTATCATCTGTGGTTATTCTATAAAGAACTTTCTTTAAAGCAGAATGGAATAGATGGAATAAATATTTTAGAATGAGTTGGTGCCCTGGTAACCCCCAAAGGCAACAAATAAGGCTTTCGTTTTTTGAGCAGCGGTATGACCCAGCCAGCTCTTTGAAACAGTTGTGTTTAGAATGGGTTGGAGCAGGAGGAGACTATATTTGAAAGACCAGAAGGCTGAGAGGCTAAGACGGCCTGAAAGATACTGGGGACAGAACCAAGAGGAGTCGGTGACTAGTTGTGAGGATTAAGGAGAAAGTACCGCCAGAGATTACCTCCAGGTTTGTTTGAAGGTGAGTAGCCAGATTAGGATGTAGGCTTCAATAGGATTAACCCCCAAAGAGCCACACATATTTGAGAGATATTTTGTGTCACACTTTTATCTATTATACAATTTTTCATTAGGATTTAAGCCAATAGGAAGGCCACCGCACATCTGTCCACGTGATGAGGGGAGCACGTATGGGGTGTAAAATGTTAGCTCTCATTTGGAGATGCTGTTTGTGTTGCTGCCAGAATATTGAGGTGAAGAGGTCGAGCAGACCGTGGAAAACACATGAGAGAGAGGATGGATTCATACACAGAGTGATGTGTATATTATCTGGAAGTAACCCCTGAGGCTCAACTTTGAATCCAGGGGAGA